GAATAATATCAGTCTCACAGAATGAGTTTGGAAGTGTTGCCTTCTCTTCTATTTTTTTGGAAGATTTTTGAAGAATTAGTATTGATTCTTCTTTGAAGCCTGCATGTTCTTTGTGGGTAGGTTTGTATTATTATTATTAATTCAGTATCTTCACTTGTCACATTTTTATTTCTTCTAGAGTCTGTTTTGGTAGTTTGTGTCTTTCTAGAACTTTGTCCATGTATGTGGGACTTAAGTATGTATGTATTATGTTAGTGTCTGTGTGTGTGAAGTTCTCCATTTTAAATAACTTTTTTGTTCATTAACCAAGCAACTACTGGTCCCAGAAAGGAAGGTGTCCATTGGTGTTCATAAGTATTGGCATTTTACTCTTTCAGCAGCATGCCTATTGTCTCACCCTGTGCTTTTAGAGCATATCTGCTTCCCTTGTCCCACACCAAGGCCAACTTCTGGGTTTTCCTGAAGTGGTTTAAAACATTGAGTTCCAAGCTCCCAGAGTTTTTTCCTTTGGTATGTCCTTTCTGTTTCCCTCCTCCCTAATCCTTAAATCACAGCATGCTTCACACTTCATTACCCCTTTAGACTTAACTTCGTATATATATACTTTATGTAAGATTTGCCTCTCACTGCTGTTTCTGTGTTCTTTATCTTCCCCTGTTTCGACTTCTTTGTTCTCATGGATTTTCACTTGTTGGACCCAGTTGTGGCCTTCCTCACACTAACTCTTCATTCTGATGTTTACTTTTATCTAAGACCTTCGAAGTGAGAAGCACTAATTTATGATGAGAGTATTACTGAGCGAGGGGCGATCACTATAAGAAAGTGTGTAAAGCCCTCCTGCCACCCTTTCCTGATCAGCCAGCACTAATTTATTTTCTCAGCAAGAACCTGTGGGATATTCCTAACCTGCGGCTCCAGCCCTATCTCCCTTCTAGGGTGCCTTGTTAAGCAGCTCACTGCATAGGGCTGGGCGGGGAAAGCCCATCCTCTGGCCGCACTGTGACCCTGGCCGTGGGTTTCTGCCCTCCCCCAGGAAGGAGCCCCTCCTCCTAATTTGCCGCCAGGAGCAGCTCTGTGGCCTGGGCAACCCTGCACCACCATGTGGGCATGGACTCTCCCCTGCTTCCCCAGCCCCTCTCCCTGCTCCTCAGTGTGAACTGGAAAGACCCAGGTTGTGATTTCTACTGTGTTGATGTAACAACTTAGGCAATTGATCAAAGTGCAAGCTACAACATTCTTTTTTCAGGAGTCCCAGTTTTGTGTTATTTGCTGATTTATTCACTCATTTTTTTTATTCACTCATTTGCTCACTCATTCGTTGACTGATGCATTCATTCAGTCAGCACACATCTCAAGGGTTTTGCTATGTGTCCAGTGCTGGTAGGGATCTAGAAACAGTGAGAATAAGTCCTTCAGAGAACGTATAACTCCTTTCTTATTTCTGTGGACCAGCAAGTTGGGATAATCAACCATTGATGGAACAACCATCATGAATGCTGTATCCATGGGACACAAAGCAGAATTGACAAGACTGAGTTACTCTAATATGTGTAGAAATTGTGGCCAAAAATCTGATTATACAATTCAGCTTATTGATATACTTTACCAGAGAAGCCTTGTTACCTCCTAAGTGTCTATAATCTCATTTCTGTAGTTCATGTACTTAATGTAATCTCATTCCTCCATTTCCTGTTGCATTATGTCCTCCCATTTACTGTAAGGCAAGTGCGAGAAAAAGAATGAGCTGAGTGTTAGGTAAAGAAGAAAATTTATTAGAGGGAAAGCAAAGGAAGAAAGCAAAAGAGAACCAGCAGCTTGTTCTTTTGGCGGGTCCCTCTTATATTCCCTAGCTGGGGTCTGGTGGTCACATAGCATATGTAGTCCTGAGGAAGCAGGTGCTGGTGGTCACGTTGTCCCAAGACGTGGCCTTGAGGAAGCCGGCTGGTGCTGGTGCTGGTGGTCATGCAACCTTGAGGACGTAGGTATTGGCAGTGAAAACAAGACGTTGCTTAAGCAAGCGGAGGAGAAGTGGGGAGGAGCGAGTGGGGGTTGCAGCTCCCTGACACTTGCCTGCCAGCGACTTTAGCCTCGGGAATACTGTCTGCTATTGCACCATCTCCGGGAGGCACGTGCCTGTTAGCTTCATCTTTTATTAGAGGCCATTAGTGTCCTCTCCTTATAGAGTAGGCCTCCTCCTTTAGACATGCAGAGAGGGCACTGTGGCATCCACGGGCGATGTGGCTGTCTTGCTCATGGAGCCAGTAAGCAGTGCGGGTCCGTCAGGGACAGGACACCGACCCCTGGGAGCCCCAGAGTCACTCGAGCTCACATGTAGCTCCTCTCCACCTCAACCCAGTGCTGGCCACACCCGCTGAAGACAGCTCTCCTTGGACCTTCAGTGACCTTGAGGTCCTTGAGGCCTGGATGCAACAGAATCATTTCTAGGCGGTGGGTACTGCTCATCTATCGGACCAGGAACAATGGGCAGCTGATTATTCTCTATGGCTAGTTAAAGCAGACAGTCATAAAAATGATGCACACATACAAACGTTTTGCTTTGACTTTAAATATGCAGATGAGCATTTGTCCACCAGTGGTGTGATTCGGGGCTGTGATTGTCCCTTTGGTTAGAGGTCAGTGTGGTGTGTCTAGTTGTATTTCTTGCATAAACTTCATGGAAATTGTGTTACCTTTGATTTCCAGATCCAGTTCCTCTGAAGCAGAGCCAGCCATGGGAGGCAATCTCAGTGCAGAACTTCCCTAGATTTGTACGATTCTCCTCCACTCGACTGCCTTGCCTGATTTGGCAGCAATTTCTGCTTAGCTACCTTCCTTCATTGAGTCCTCTCACAGTACTCAATTTGGTTTTCACAGAGAGAGCAGCTCTTCCCGTCTGCTTCCATATTTCATTGCGCAATTGCTATAATAACTAAAACCGGCCTTACCCTGTGAGGGAAGGTACCCCACAGCCCTGGGTAGCCATGGACCACCCCTGGGAATGGCGACAGGGTGGGCGGGTTTCCCCCCAGCACCGGGACCACAGAGAGCTTCAGCTCCTCTGGAGGGCTGGGAGGGAGGTTAATTAAGAAAATGTCTACTGGCTGGGCATGGTGGCTTACATCTGTAATCCCTGCACTTTGGGAGACTAAGATGGGCAGATTGCTTGAGCCCAGGAGTTTGAGACCAGCCCGGGCAACATAGTGAAACCTCGTCTCTACAAAAAATAAAGAAAAAAAAATTGGCTGAGTGTGGTGGTGCATGCCTTCCCAGCTACTCAAGATGCTGAGGTAGAAGGATTGCCTGAGCCAGGAGGTTGAGGCTGCCGTGAACCATGATCGTCATGATCATGCCTCTGCACTTCAGCCTGGGCAACAGAGAAACTGACTCAAAAAGAAAAGAAAAAGAAAAGAAAGAAAGAAAATGTCTACTACAGTAACAATCCTGCTCACTCTACCAAGTCTAAGGAGGGACAGAGGAAGAGGGCTTTTCCCACATTCTCAGTCTTCCGGGAAAATCTCAGAGGTGTGTGTGCTCCCAGTGGAAGCCAGGATATGGTAGGAATGCTGGGAGATGGTGCTGTGTTCCCTAGGGAAGCAGGGAGGCCAGGCGCTGGTCAGGAGTGAACCTGGGTATACGTGAGGTAAGCAGACCTGGGCCGGAGCCCAGGGGTGGGCAGAGCCTGCTCGGACTCCCAGGTGCTCCTGGAAATCCCTGCCCCTTGCCGGCCTCCCCTGCCCTCCACAGCCCTCTCTGTGGCAGGTGAGGGAGGCGTGGAGGCCCCTGTTTACAAGAGCCTTAACCACACAACACTGCCCTCTGGGTCTGTGATGCAGAAATGGTCCTTCTCAGGGAAGGGACTGAGACTCACAGGGTCAGCGATGTGCTCAAGTCCCGTGGGCCCTCAGCGGTGTTAAAGGAAAAACCTAAGACAAATTAACTTTAACAGAGCTTAATGGAGCAAAGAATGATTCCCAAATCAGGCAGCTTCTCGAACCAGAGCAGGCTCAAAGGACTCCAGCGCAGCCATGTGGTGCAAGAAGGCCTACAGGCAGAAAACGGAAGATGAGGGGCAGAAACAACTGAATTGCCATGCTTGGTGACTCAGCCTCTCATCCCCGCACTTTGGGAGGCCGAGGCGAGTGGATTGCCTGAGCCCGCAAGTTCGAGACCCACCCAGGCAACTTGGTGAGCCCTCCTCTCTACAATAAATAAAAAATTAGCCAGACGAGGTAGCATGTGCCTATAGTTCCAGCTCTTTGGAAGGAGGCGGAAGGATCGCTGGAGCCCAGCAGGTCGAGGCTGTGGTGGCCGGGAGCATGCCACTGCATTCCAGTCTGGACAACAGAGTGAGACTCCAACTCAAAAAAAAAAAAAAAAAAAAGAAAAGAAAAGAAGCAGCTGAATTGGTTAGAGCTGGCAATGGCTTTAACTTGAATGCAGTATGAATAGCTTGCTACCATTGATTGGCCAAAACTCAGCGGTTGGCACAAGAGCAGTTGATAGTCTGTTGATACATTTAGTTAGGTTACAGTTTACCATGTGCAAGGTTACAGAGAAACCTTTAGATCAGACCCAAAATATGCAGGGAGGCAGCTTCAGGCTAAACCTAACTTAGCAGTGATCAGTCAGGGTCGGGAACCAGACTCTGACTTTGGTCCCAATCCTTCACACTCTCCCTCAGATCTTAGACTCTGGGCTGTGCAGATAGACCAATATTTTGGGGGCCCTGTGTTTAGTGGGCCTGGGGAAGCTGCCCAGGCCAGTTAGTCCCTGTTCTCATCTCCCCACATTTCCAGATGCACCTTGAAGGACAGCACATGCCTACGTCAGAATCTCTCTCCCCAAAGCAAATGGTGAGCAGGGGCTTTCCCACAGCAAGGTCTTAGTGCCCTGATAACACGGGACTTGATACAGGGACAGCCCTGGGCACTCACAATGCTCACATCAGGTGTGTGGGCACCTCAGCTGGGCACCAGGCACAGGTGTGCCTTTGTCAACACATGGATCAGAGAGGGCAGTTACAGACAGCTGGGGCCAGCAAAGCCACTGGGGAAAAAAAAGAAGCACCCAGGGAAAAAGAGCCTTCTCCAGAGGCAGAGTCGAGCTTTCTACCCAGCCACAACTGTGTGCGTGTGGCTGTGGAGCCTGAAGCCCTGGAGGGTGTTGGTAAGGCCGTGGGCTGCCCACTGGCTTTCCAGATCATGGGGCCTGACCCGGAGGCTTCTAAGTGAGAGAGAGGCAGGGAACTGGAAAAGGGGGAACAAAAGACATTTGGTACGTGAGGTTACTTTGGAGCAGGTTGTTCAGAGTGGGGAGTTTGGGGGCACTGGTTGGTCAGGAAGCTGGAAGCTAGACAGGACTTGGGGAGCAAGGTCTCCCTCACAAAGTGTTTTCAGCAGCAGGGACCTCATCAGATTGCTTTAAAAATAGCTCTGCTGGTGGGATGGAGACCGCCTTCCAGAGGCGGGAAATTGAGGCAGAAAGATACACGTGTTAGATAGTCCTGTGAGGAGGAGATGGGCAGGGGCCCAGTGGAGGCCCAGGAGGAGGCACCTGCCCCTCTCCTGGTAGGTGTTTACTGAGCACCTGCTGGGCCCCAGGTGCGAGTCCGCGGGGACAGGGAGAGAAATTGCCCTTGGGATTTCAACACAGTTATGGGAGCTGGTTGCCAGGGATGGGAGGCTGAAGGCACCAAGGGGAGTGTGGAGGTCAGAGAGAGGAATAACTGCGGAAGGGCAGCCGACCCTAGAGCCGGGGGCACCGAGGGGTGGGAGTGGGCAAGGGCCAAGGCAACCCCGGCAGCCTGCCTGCCAGGCTTCCTTAGCGCCCCCTGCAGGCAGAACCTGGCAGTCAGCCCACCAGCGGGGAGAGGGAGTCTGCAGACTTCAGCCCCACACCCAGGGCGAGGACAGACCCAGTGACCTGTGACCCAGACCCCGCCCTCAAAGGACGGGCGCTGAAGGTGGGGAAGAGAAGGAAGAGTCCAACGTGACCTGCAGGCTTCTCGCGGGGAGGCTGAGGAGCCCAGGAAGGGCCGCCTCCAAGCGAGCCGAGGCTGGGGCGCCTCCACAGCAGTGGCGCCTACACCCCAGGGAGGGTGGGCTGGGCTCCGTGGACGCAGAACCTGCCCTGTAACCTTTCCGGAGGCCCTGGAGTGTGGCCGCATCTACCCGTGGAAACCTGCTAATAGACTGTCCGCAGCTCCCGCCTCTCCTGAAAAAGCTTGTTCTTTCTCCCTCCTGATGGAATTGCGCCTCTACTAGGAGTGCTTTGGCTTTCGCCTTTCATTAGTTTTGCTTGAGTATCTTATTGATTATTTTCTAATTTCTGGTAGAGACCGACTCAGAGTAGTTCCCTATTAGACCTCAAAGACATGTGCCCTCCGCCTCCTCCCACTCTGTGCACTGTGTCAAGATGAGCAGCTGCCGAGGCAGAGGACCACAGGCACACATGACACCTGCCCTCGCCACTGACTCACCCCCACTTTGGGCAATTAAACAAGCACGGCTGAGTCAGACCGGCTGGGAAGGCCAGGGTGTGCTCTGTGTGTTAGGGAGACCCACAGGAGCCATTTTTCGGTCTGAGGTGTCACATGTTTAGACACGGCCATTGTTCTTTCTCGGTCAGCCCAGTGCATGCTAATTTCACGGCCTTTGACAGTATTCAGAACCATGACCTCACCCCAACTAGTGTAATCATGTCCTCGTGCCCTGGCTTCTGTCAACTCCAGCCTACTCCTGCTGCCAGAAAGCCCTTCCTATCACGCAGCGCCAGTCACCCTGTGCCCCAGCGCCGCACCCTCACTGGCTCCCCAGTACCCCAGAATTAAGAACTGACTTCCAGAGCCGTATCCATTTGCTTTTCTTAAACACATTGTTCCCTGGTTCACCTGTTCTTCTAGAACCTGAGAGCCTCCCTGCCAGCCCACCTGTTGAAATCCTACCCATTTTTCGAGACCCCTTCAGATGTCATCTTCTTCATGAATCCTTTGGGGACCCCAGTTTCTACTCAGTGCTTGGAGGTGTCCCTGTTTTCTGACGGCCCTGTCTTTGGCCATGTGCAGGTGACTCTGGGTCCTCGTCTTGTCCCCTCCAATCCCGATCCTTTCCTTACTTCACCTACCATGTTGTGGGAGGTCCCAGAGCACAGAGCCCTCATAGCGCAGGGTCTTTTGTCCTTGTAGATGCTCACAGGAAGGGGTTGATGGGAACTGGCCTTTCCATGCCACAGGTACCCTCTGGGCAGCAGTGATGGCTGTGAGGGTGGAGAGAGAAGCCAGTGTTGGTCAGGACTTCAGAAACGGAAAACTAGGCAGAGACAGGTTCATGTTGCTAAAGGGATTTTACCTCACTTTGCTCAAGCAGCAACTCGGTGTTTACGTTGCCCCATAGAAGTTGCCGGAGCCCCTGAAGGAGTCTCTTTGTCCTCAGAGCAGTATTTTACAAAACCCCCTAGAACCGCAGAATATTAATAGATACTGTGTATCCCATGGGACCATGGTGAATTATTTGGAAATGTTGGTTAGGGGGTTAAACCATTAAATGAGTGTTTCAGCACAGGCCTTCTCAGAGCCTTTAATGCACTACTGCACACTCCAGGAAGAGAATATGTGATATTTCCCAAATTTATTTCACCACAGGAATTTGGGGAGTGGGTGGGGACACCTCCAGGGTCTAGTGTTGTCTCCTGAACACTTGAGGAACACACACGCCATGCACCCTTTTAACTGCAGCCTTTGAATAGGGTCCTCGGAGGAGCCAGGTTTAGTTGGAGGAATAGCATGAAAGACTTTTTCTTTGGTGTGCTGGATAATAGCGTGGGCAGCAATGCGTGAGGTGACTCGAGGCACACGTTCCTCCCGGAGCCTTCGCTTCAAGCGTGTGTTAGGCAGGCATGGCTTGACAGTTTGAATTACAGACATTCCACACTGATCATTAACGCTTCTGTGTAATTAGCTTAATTAGACACAAGCCGCACAAGATGGCCCAAGTAACTCCGATCGTCTATTTTCCAGTTCCTCCCGCAGAGGTCGCATCCTGCCAACCCTGCCTGCGTGACACCCCACGGCACCGTTCTCCACCAGACCCTGGATTTCGACGAGTTCATCCCCCCACTCCCTCCTCCACCCTACTACCCTCCAGAGTACACCTGTACGCCCTCCTCTGAGGCCCAGAGGTTGGTTGGCCCACAGAGGCGCCCACCTGAAGCCACCAGGATAAGCAGCAGTCTTTGGGAGGCAGGAGGCAGAATGGTCCAGCTCACTTTTAGGGTAGAAGTCGAGCAGAGCCAAGAACAGGTGTCCGCAGTTGAGAACGGGGGCGGGGCGGAGACCACAGATGTGCATTTAGTAGTGTCTTTGCAGCGGAACCAAAATAAACCAGAAGCAGACAGGAGCAGCCCCAGAAGGTTCTCATGATGTGCAGAGCTGCTATGGAATTACATCATTCATTTAACAAACATGTGGCGGTTAGTGAAAGAAAGATTAACCCACTGTTTGATTAATTTCAGTGGGCAGGGCCATGCAGTTTATGGACAATGTTGATGTCTTTCCCGAAAACGAGAGTGCAGACTGCCTTGTGAATTGGGCTTTTATTTCACACCCATGGCAAGCAGTGGGTGAGGGGAACCCCTGACTGCCCATGTTCTGACGGCTTTGAGAGAGGTGTCAGCAGTCCTGGCTCTTTCCCGGGGATGACAGTGCAATGCTTCTGCCTTTTCAGGGGCCTCCACCTGGACTTCGTGCCGTCTCCATTCAGCACCTTGTACGATGTGGCCATCAACAGCCCCGGCCTGCTCTACCCTGCCGAGCTACCCCCGCCCTACGAGGTGGTGGTGGGCCAACCCCCTGTCAGCCAGGTGAGGCCCGGGGCCCCAGACCAGGCCAGTCCCAGGCAAGTGCTGGGGGAACCATCTGCCTGCCCTCAGAAAGCATCATGCCAAGGTGTGAGTTGGCCATGCAATGCTCCCCATGGCCACCTTGTGAGGTCTGCTGCATGCGGTTGCATCTCTTCAAGCTGTTCAGCAAGCCTGCGGGGTGTGCTGTAGATGAGGCAGCAGGTTCAGAGGGTGGAGCCTGCAGAGAGTCCAACTCAGGCCCGAGGGACCCAGTATTTGTGAGTTTTTCCGGGGCTGCCTGGCTCAGTGACTGTGGCTGTGAGTCACAACTCAGATGTGTCTTTTTTTGTTTTGTTTTGAGTTGGAGTCTCACTCTGTCACTCAGACT